AAAAAAAAAATTTCACAAGTTTATTAATATTATCTGAATGTTGTATACCGAAGCTATTTTTTTCCCTTGAGATAAAAACATTTATTCATTTATTCCATGTTTGTGTATTTGGGGGAATGTTTTGACTGTTTTTGTGACCTATGTCACAATTATACTAGTATTGCTTTTTGCTATTTTCCCCCAACATTCTGAATTCTTTATTATTAAGTAAAATAATTCAAATAGCATAGATGATTTACACCCATAAATCATACAGCTTATGTAATGATGAGTGGGAAAGCACCCTTAATAGATTTGAAAACACAAGAATCATGAAACTAAAAGAAATAGTCTTTGAAATTCTTTCAGGAGCTCCATAACTTTGTTCAGCTTAGACATACACAGATAACTAACATGTTAATGATGCCAGTTCTCACTCTGAGTTCTCAACTGAATCCTGATTCCCTCAATAGACAAATTCGATATACTTTACAAATTGGTCCTTGCTTTATGTTTCATTTAATTCAACAAATGATACATAATATTATTGGTATACTGTATGGATGACTTTAACTTTCAAACCACAGTTGACCCTTGAACACCATGGGGGTTAAGGGTGACTCCCTGCTCAGTTGAAAGTCCACATGTAATTTTTGACTTCCTGCAGTCTGCTATGTCTGAAAGCCTTCGCGATGTCATGAACGGTCAGTTAACGCATACTTTGTATGGCCTGTGTCTTACATACCGTATTCTTAGAATGAAGTAAGTTAGAGAAAAGAAAATATAATTAAAAAATCATAAGGAACAGAAAATACATTTCTAGGACTGTACCGTATTTATCAAAAAAAAAATCCATTGTAAGTGGACCTGCGCAGTTCAAACACACGATCGAGGGTCTACTGTGTAGTCTTCTCATCTGGAGTGTATTCCCTCCCACACTCTGTGAGGCTGTGCTCTCCCCGTCCTTGTGCAGTTGTTTTCCTTTCAACTCTTAACACAGGTCTGTGTCTGGTATGGCAAAGAATATTGACCTGGGAGTCACACAGGCCTGGATTCGCATCCCAGCTTTGCATCTTACCATCTAATGACCTTTAACAACCAGTTTTGGGGGAGTGCTGCTCCCTTGCAGTGTTTGGGGGAGCATATGTGCTTATCACAGTGAATCAGGGAGGAGAAGCTGGTGACTGGCACCAGGTGGAGGCCATGCATGCTCAGTGTCCTGCAGCCTGTCGAGCAGCCCAACAGAGCCTTGCGTTCTTCATCTGCAAAATTTCACTTGTTAAAAGAAAAACAGTCACTTGAAGTAGTGAGCCCTGGGTGTTCTATGCAACTGATGAATCACTGAATTCTACCTCTGAAACTGTTAATACAGCATATGTTACCTAAATTGAATTTAAATAAATAATTAAAAAAAAACATATTTCTGGACAGGAATATTGAGGATTGGGATATGTAAAGTATTTAGCATAGTATCTGACACTATTCATTAAACTGATATCTTCTGGGAGGTGGTATAGTGCCTCTTACTAAGATCCCAAACTGATTACTCAACTTTTTATGCATTAATTTCCTTATTTGCAAAATGGAGATCATACAGTACCTATCTCATAGAGTTGTCATTAGGATTAAATAAATGAATAAGTGTAATAGCATTTGCTGTAAATAAAACTGCATTAAGAGTAAATGAAAATAAATATGTTATTGCTGTAAGTATTTGCTATGATTATTATTGTTTTTACCAGCTACCATGTGTCAAGCATCAGTAAATAGCATTTCTATTCTGTTTTTTCTTTTATGCATTAGCCTGCCTTGGAACCTGTCTTCCCTTACTAATTAATTATACTTTTCTGAGTAACTCTGTAGAACTGGGTATGTTTTACCAGTGATCGCATATCCAGCTTGGTGTACTATTCTTGATATTTTCACCAGCAAGTCCAGAAAAAAGATGTCTGTTTATAGTAAAGTGATGAACAGTATAATGTTTTAGAGTCTAACAAGACCCGGGGTTTGAATCCTGTGCCCATCACAGAGCCTCATCCCGGGGACTAAATGGTGTCCACGTGCCTTGCTGCTGTTGACGTTCACACTGATCACTGGACTAAAGCACCGTCCACCAGGTTTCTCTGCGGTAGAGTTACCGTCTTCCCCATTGTAATAAATAACTATCTCAGGGTGATGCTCTGACGCTATGCTGGTAGGTTTTTGTTTTTGTTTTTAACTTTTGCCCACTCATTTTAACTTCCATCAGTGGATCTTGTCTACAACCGTTACAACTGTGCTGTACGAATGGTATTTTCTAGTTCCCTCATTCTTTTTGCCTTTATTCTATTCAGTCTAACTAAAGGTTTGTCAATTTTATCTTTTCCAAGAATCAACTTCTACTTTCCTTGATTTTTCTCTACTTTATCTGTGCTCTGATCATTATTGTTTCCTTCCTTCTGCTGGCTTTAGCTTTAGTTTATTCTTTTCTTACTTCCTGAAGCTGTAAACTTGGGCTGTGGATTTGATATCTGTCTTCGTTGTCTTCTTTTTCGTCATTTTTTTTGTGAGAGAAGAGAGAGTGCGCGTGTGAGTCGGGGCTGAAGAGCAGAGGGGAGAGAAATAATCTTAAGCAGACTCCGCTCTCAGTGTGAGCCCAACAAAAGGCTCAGTCCCAATACCCTGAGATCATGACCTGAAATGAAGTCAAGAGTCGGTCACTTAACCAACTGACTGAATCACCTAGGCACCCAGAGATCTTTTTAAATATAAGTGTCTAAGGCTATAATTTCCCACTTAGCACTGCTTTTGATGTGTCCCACAAATTTTGGTGTATTAGATTTTCCTTTTCGTTCATCTCTCAGTATTTTCAAATTTAATTTCCCTTGTGATTTCTACTTTGATCCATTAAGACTCTATTTTCATTTCTATAAGTCTCTAAGTTTTCCAGTTTTCTTTCTGTTTCAGATTTCAAACTTCATCTCATTTCTGGTAGAGAAGATACTTAGTATTTATCTTTTAAAATCTATTAAGATTTAATTTGTGGCCTAACGTATGGTATATCCTGGGGAATTTGTCACATGCACTTGAAAAGAATGTGTAATCTGTTGTTGGGTAAAATGTTCTCTGTGTGTCTGTTAGATCTAGTTGGCTTATTGTGTTAAGTCCTCTGTTTCCTTATTCCTGTCTGGCTGTTCTATATCATTATTTTGAGTAGGTTATTGAAGTCTCCAACTATTAGTGTAGAACTATTTCTCATTTTAATTCTTATTTTTTCTTCATGTATTTTGATGTTTTTTTATTAGGTACATAAACATTTATAATTATTATTTGTTGCTGGATTGAGCCTTTTATTATAAATACATGATGTCATTTTGTTTGTATTTTGTAACTTTAAAAAAAATTTTCTTTTTTTTGGTCTGATAATAAAATAGCCACCCCTGCTCTCTTTTGGTTATGTTTGGCTGAAATATTCCATACTTTCAGTTTCAACATATTTGTGTCGCTGGCTCTCAAGTAAGCCTCGTGTAGACTATGCATGTTTTGATCATTTTGTTGTTAAATCCATTTGACCCTCTCGTCTCTTCCAATTAGAGTGATTAATCCATTTACGTTAAAGTAAACACTTATAAGGAGATAGTTCTGTCACTTTGCTATTTTTTTCAATATACTTCATACTTTCTTTGTCTCTTATCTGCATTACTGTCTTATGTTTAGTTTGTTTTTCTCTTTTTTTTTAGTGAAACATTTTAATTCCCTTCTCATTTCCTTCTCTATATATTCTATAGCTATTTTCTGTGTGGTTACCATGGGGATTACATTTAACATCCTAAAATTATAACACTCTAATTTGAATTTATACCACCTTAACTTCAGTAAGATACAGAAACTGCTTCTCTGCTGCTTTGCTACTCTACTCAACCCTTTTAAGTTATTGATTTTATAAATTATATCTTTATTCTTTTTGGTACAATTGTAAATGGGATTGTTTTCTTAATTTTACTTTTTTATTAGTGTATAGAAATCCAAGAGATTTCTGTATATTAATTTTGTATCTTGCAACTTCACTGAATTAATTTATCAGTTCTGATGGTTTTTTGGTGGAGTTTTTAGGGTTTTCTATATATAGTACCATGTCACTGCCAATAGTGACAGTTTTACTTCTTTCGTACCAATCTGGATGCCTTTTCTTGTTTTATGACTGCACCCAGACTTCCAGTACTATGTTGATTAAAAGTGGTGAGGGTCAGACATCCTTGACTTTTTCCTGATCTTAGATGAAAGGCTTTCAGTCTTTCACCATTTTTCATATATGGCCTTTATTATGTTGAGGTATGTTCCCTCTAAACCTATTTTGTTGAGAGTTTCTGTCATGAATGGATGTTGTATTTTGTGAAATGCTTTTTCTGCATTTGTTGATATGATCATGTAGTTTTTATCCTATCTCTTATAAATGTGATGTATCATACTAATTGATTTGTGAATATCGAACCACCCTTGCATCCCTGGAATAAATCTTACTTGGTCGTGGTGAATGATTTTTTTAATGTGTTGTTGAATTTGGTTTGCTGGTATTTTTGTTTTAATTTTATTTTGTTTAGTTCTTTTTTACCTTTTTTTTTTAAATTTCAGTGTTCCAGAATTCATTGTTTATGCATCACACCCAGTGCTCCA